CTTTCCCTAACACCGCCCACCTCCATACCCCTTCAAACAAAAAAGGATGGGGCATAATTTGCATCATAAAACTGATAAGAGACTTGGAAAGGAGGGAATCAGAAGAAGTCAGCACTCTGAAAATTATTACATACATCATTTTAATGTTTATTTCCAAACTGATACAAGAAATAGTTACAGAAATACTCTTGTCATTAAACTTACAGCTTAATAACAAATTGACTTGCTTATAAAACAGGTTCCAACCCATGAACTGTAAACTTAGGGCGGTGTCCAACTGCTACAAAAACTAGTTACATTTCCTTGGCTGTAGATATTGGTACTGCAGAACTTAAACATCTTTTGCAAGCTGCTGAATCTCTGTAAACAGTCTGAGCACAGCCCCCCTGAATAACTGAACTGATCTCATAATGCTAAATGGTCTTAAACTTTCACCAAGTTTTATAACATTTGGATTCTGTCTTAACTTCAGGTATTAGTGGTTACAGCAAAAGCCTTGAATTTTGTAAATTCTCACATGTGTATTGTGGTGATGTAATATTTTGGCTGGGAGGTGTTCTTTATGTAGGGAATTATAGGGTGCCTTCTTTTTCCCTATTCAACATATATTATGGAATTTGGAGTTATCCAATACTTGCCTGACAATATTGTTTAATAAAAGCAACAGCAGTTACCCTTTTTTGCCAAAGTCTTTGTTGGGTGGCTTCTTGCACCTCCAACAGAATTAATATATCTTGGATTAACAACCGCAAAAAATCTGGGATGGTAATTGCTAGGCACAAGATTCTGTACTTTCCTCAATTTTCTAAATTTATTCTAATGTTCTTAAACCAGAAGACTGAAATCAAAATGCCTGTGGATACAGCGTAAACTTTTTTTAAGGTTAGGCTCCACACCAAAATTTCACATGCTAAAACTTTGATGATCAAAGAAGCTGGCTACGTGCATGCCTAACCTTTATGATCCCTGTACTCCTTCTTAATCAAAGGTAAACCAGTGCAAGAGTGATAGGTAAAATTCTTTATGTTTACTTAGATCCAAGACAACCCTGAATTTAAGATCACCCTCCCAATCATTTGATTCTATATATGGAAAATGTGTAAGTTTGTTATAATTTTCCAGGTACAGAGTCTAATTATCCGAGGGTTGAATTCATCCCCCCTGCAGGGAAATTCATCCCCCTACCCCCTTGCCCTGTGTCTCCTACTTCTTCCCCCTGCAGCTTTCCTGCCTCCCCTGCCACCTACACCCCTATTCCCACAATCTCTGCCTCTTCCCTCCCACTCCCCAGAGTCTCTGCCTCCTCGTTACTGTCAGACACTCTATGCCCTCCCTGGAACACAGCACGTGGAAGCACAGCCCCTACTGGGCCATACTTATAATATTATTTTCCTAGGGTAAAACTATAGGGAGAGAATGTAACTGCACAGTTCAACTCAGATGTTCATGACTTTTTCTGTATCAACCGTATATAGAAACTGCTCAATTCTATCTTCAGTGAGAACTTGTCTGGACAATTTATGAGATTACCTGAAATACCAGAACAATACTGCAATCACAGCAAGTTTCCTGTAAAAGGAGGGATGGGGGGGGGGAGGGAGAACCTCTGGTCACACCCTTCATCTAAGCATAACATTTAATGCAGCATACAATAATAATTAAAAAAAACCTAGCTGGGTGAATCCCCTTGAAACATGAGAGGTATGAGAACCTTTTAAGAGAGATTTAAAAAAATCTAGGTCTACTAAAACAGTCGTTGCAGTTATCAGAGGTTCTCACATATCAGAAAATGCTCACTTGGTCTGAGAAGGGCATGGGGAACAAAAAAATATTTTCACTGATTTTTCCTGCAGTCAGCTTCATGATATCAAATATAGTATTAACTATCCAAACCACTAGCAGTCATACAAGAAATACAATATCTACCCACCAAAGACTACTCCTATTGACCTCAAAGACAGGAGACTGAACTAGAAGACACTTGCTAGTCTTCAGTCTACCTCTCTGAAGCAGGACTTAGAAGGATCTCCCAAAATTAGGAAAAAAAAATACTAGGAAACTGGCAATGGTGCAAGAGAGAGAAGTGGACAATCCTGTTGGGGGAAAAGGGGTAGAATATACATGGAATCCAAAAGACTAAGACAAGATGCAAAGATGGACTTAGCCACGTAAAGTGTGC